TTTTGATAAGTAATTCATGAATAACTTTCACATTACCCTGTCACTTTATTTGACTCTATTGCATGAAAAAAGCAGATTGGACTCGCCCAGTTTGGAATTGTTACAAGGAAATGCAATGTGTAATGCTATGAGCTCTAAAATGTTTAGCTAAGATATTGTAGTGTAGGAGGGATTGTCCCCTTGTCTCTGGGCTTTTACACTACATCTGTCTCAATTCAAGATTCAAATTATGCAACAGGAAAATCAGATGCTCAGAGCCACAGCTCAGTGGCAGAATCCTTGCTCAACAAGCAGAAGGTTGCAGGTTCAATTTCTGGAATCATTGGCTAAAGAGGAATAGAAATCTTTGTTGCTGCCATTGCCAGTATTTGTGCATCTCTAGGTAGCAACATTTGCATGATGGGTGGAGCCAATCCCAAAGTGGGACAGGAAAAAGGCATTGTGAATGGATGTTTAAAACTGGCAGCATCCGCAATTGATGAAAAATTGCTTTAACCTTTAGCTTTGCAAAGCTACTTCGACTTACGGAAGAATGGTGTGGAATTTATAACAAATGGCTTGAGCCAAATCTAACTGGTTCAGTATGTGTTTATGAGCTGGCTGGAGACAGGGATATTAGGTGGGTGAAACTGACAAGTCCTCATGCCATAATAAGTGTGTTCCTTTTCAAAATGCAGCAAAAGTCTTTGTTGGTTTTCCTAACTGAATGAATGTCCTGGATGTGTCTTCTTTATAGGTGGGATCTGGCTCTAGAGGGCCATCAGAACAGTATGAAAGCAAACGCTTTGTGGTCCCCATGCTTGCCTTTATGCACAGAATGGGTTTTTTTTTCCCAACTATCAATCTGTTCTAAGCTATCAAATTATGTTGATGCATTATATCCATTGCAATGCATTTATAACAGCAGTGAGGTTTACGGTCCCCCATCTCCCAATGGAATGAGCATCTCTTGGCATCTTTGCATCTACAAAACACACATGCACACACCTCCTTCTTCTGCAATATTGTAAATATTCATAAATTAACTTATACTGGGGATGATTATGTGAAAGTGCTGAGAGACTTTGAACTCACTGAATCAGAGGGAAATTGAAACTGTTAACTACGTGTGATTGTAATACATCAAAATATTACAATGCTTCACTGTGGAAATGGTTAATTTCTGAAAAGGGGTAAACAAGCAAGACACAAACATTTGTCTTGTCAACTGTTAAGACGCTTTTCAACTGGAAGGCCCTCCTACAGAAATATCACGAGACCTCTGGTTTTATCGCAGCTTTCCACATGTATTAGAACTGTATCTACAAGATTTAGCAACTAACACTTCCAACACCACGTTGGGCACCATGTTGGTGAAGATATATATAGATGACATGGTGTTGACATTGGTTAATGAACATGCTCTTTTGCACAGGACAGGAAAAATATATAAGGAAGACTAATTGGAAGAAAGGTCCACCACAGTGATTACTATTAATAAGAGGCTTTGCTTCTTTCTTTTTGCAGATCTAGGTTTCATTGCTTAATTTCCAGAATGGCTCTCCAAGGTCCTGACATCATCAGCATTTGGATAAATTGGCCACAATAATTAAGTTCCAAGATTATGCTTTTCTTCCAAGAACTGCATTTATCAGTTAGGATTAGTGGGTGAAAGTACTATCAAAGGAAGTTTATTTTAGCCAATACTTGATTCAACAAGGTAACCAAAGTTGAGTCCCTACCGAAAAACATTAGACCTACAATCAAAACTGTCTAAGGAGACTTCAGGCTCAAAAGTAGACAAGAACCAGATTGAATTTGCAAAACTATTAAATCTAGAATCCAGAATGTCAGCCCTGCTATACCAGGTAGAGCCAAATTCAAATATTGATTACTACATTGTGGCTCTTCTGATTTTCTGCTGATTGGGCCTAAAATGTCACAGAAGCTGGATTCATATGTTGCATTAAAACATAGGTGGAGAAAAACAGAATAGCTTGCTTCACTCAGCACAGGAAGCCATAAAACATGGATTTATAAACTGCATTATATATTAAAAACTGAGTTAATATTTAGGATGGGGTGATCAAGGCCCACAGATATAGGGGGTTTTGTTGAAGATTCCAGAGCTTCTTAAGTATATTGTTACTGGAATTCAGCAATCAAAGTATAGTTTTCTCCAATGTGATTTTTCTGTAACACTTAAAATAGGCAAATTAAATCTCTAGGAATGTCTTAAAGAATGTATTTTGGTTTTTTTTTTTTTAAAAAAAGCCACATCCCCAAATATCATTCCAGGAAACAAAATAATGTCCCTCTCTGAACTAAGATATTCCTGGTTTAGAAATTCAGCTTTGAACATGAACCACAAACAGTAGTATAATTGGCTTGATTCTATCATTGCACTGAGACAATTATGGTTTTCTGAAAAGATTAAAGTGACTGGACAGTAAATAACTCTGGCTGGAGAACCCTGGTTAAAAAGAGTTAATTACAATTGAGTTCTTGGCAGAAAGTTATGTTATAACTTTGTCATAATGGCATTCGCCACAAAATGGTTTTCAGATTCAGCTGTGTTGCAAAGGGATTGATTTGGCAGGCTTTGTTCTTTGTTTACTGATATTTACTTGTTAAGGATAAGAAAATTGCATTCAGCTGTTTTTAGCCAGTAAAACAAAGGAATTGCTTAGTGCCTGTTAACAACATTAATTTCTTAATAAGTACACAGTAGCGTATGGGCCCATTCTCTATGTTAGCTTTCAGGAGTATTTAAGAATTCTTTTTCAACTTCTGAACCATGCAATTACAGTCTCTCTTTTATTGAGTAATTTCATTACTGAGCTATTTAGCACAGTTATGAAAGCAAGCAATTTAATCCCTAGCTAGGTTGTGGCATTCAATTACTAGCTGGCTGCTTGTTCACTAGAGAGATTGAATTTTCCCAGATATAAGAAGTCATGAGCTAGGAGGAAGATCAGAAGGTTCACAAAATTCAAAAATACTAGAACTGGGAGAAGGAAGGGGAAGAGTATAATCTCATATTGACTTGATTGCATAAAAATGTCAAATATTTCACTGGGAAGATAATGGGTTGAATCCAGTGGGAATTCCAACCAAGAATATCCGTAGGGCAGTTGGCTACATGATTCCTAAGCTGCACCTTATTTGATTTGAATTTGGTTTAGCACGTTGGGTGAACTAGAATGGGCATTTGGCATTTGGAGCCCTGGTGGTGCAGTGGTTAGAATGCAGTATTGCAGGCAAACTCTGCCCATAGCATGGAGTTTGATCCTGATGGGGCTCAAGGTTGACTCAGCCTTCTATCCTTTCTGAGGTTGCTAAAATAGGACCCAGATTGTTGGGGGCAATATGCAAATAATGCTTTTACATTGTAAATTGCCCAGAGCCTGTAGTAAAGCACTATGGGGTAGTATATAATTCTAAGTGCTATTGCTACTAATGAGTTTTCCAGTCAATTCTGGTTATCCTGCAAATCGTGGTAAAGCAAATTATGACAGCGTAATGAATGAACCCTGACAGGTAATCCACTACTGGTGAGATAAAAGTGGAGAAAGTACAGGAGAAATGGAGGCAAAGTAAGAGACGAAGGAAAGCCAGAACAAGGGGGAGATAATGGGAACAAAAACAACCAGGTTGGGCATTGTCGAGTAGTATTTGACCCATGATTCTGGAGCCTTGGAAATCATGACAGAGGTCCTTCTACATTGCAATGTCTATTGGGATATACAGTATGGAAGCAACTTATAAGTCCACTAGTTCTGAGATTCTCAGAAAAAAATGTATTTAATGTTACCCAATGCCTTGTAGATATGAGCTCATACATAACAGTTGTGAACTATTTTTTATATTGCTATTAAGAGTTGTAACTCTACAGATTTTATCAAGCTATTCTTATTATCTGATTTTGTTGAGAGTTTTGTTGCATTGGTGGCTTGGTCAATGGCCTGAATAAAATATATTGCTGCTGTTGTAGGTACCGTGGGACAGGGGAGTAGAAGTGGAGAGCAGAAAAGGTCTGGAGGAAGCATTTGGTTGAAGAATTGGGAAAGGGTTGGTCTGAAGGCAGATTTGAAATGACGGCTGGAAGGAGCTGGTGGACCCCAAGGGGAATGAAGAAGTTCAAGTTACAGACATTAAATCTTAGTTTTTGAAGAAATGTTGCAGCATCTAAGATTCTTCCTTACACAATTTCCTTTTGCCCTCATAACCATGTAAAAAGTAATGTTATCATTTGCTCTACTTTTACACATGCAAACTATATTTTAAAAAAAGAGATGATTGTAGCTATGGTTTTCAAAAGAAAGAGCAAGCAACTATACAATATTCGTGAAATGTCCTTGTACATTACTGAAAGAGACAGATTTCACCCTGACAATTTTATCTGACTACAAAGAAATAAATAGGCTGTTATTCTATTGTTTCATCAGAACATCTCTACTTATCCAAAGCCCAGTTAAAAGCACCTGGAAGAGGTAACCTGGACATTCTCCCTTTCCTGATTTGTGCCAAATCTTCTCAACTCAAACACCCCTGGCATAAGAAAGCAAATGCAACGAGCACAGCAAGGTCCTTCCATCAGTCATGTTACATGCATGGCTGGGAAACTGTGGGAAAACCCAAAGAACATTCTGGTGGATCTATTGCAATGGAGAAGGAAGAACATTGCTTATTTTAGAAACAAAAGAAAATATTTGTAGTTCGGGTAGTTGATGTTGTTGTTGGTTATGTTCTACAAGATTGCTGTTTAGCATCCGAACATTTCCTGACCAGGCTGGTGACATCCTCAGCTGGACTTCACATGATAGGTCACATGGCATGATCAACCAGTCAAACGACCCACCAATCACATGACCCCATGAGATCAATATAAGCGGTGAAGAACTGGAACAAGATTCTTCAACCGAGCTGAGGATGTTACCTAGCTTGGTGATGAAATGTTCGGAAGAGAACAAACCACCACCAACATTGCTTATTTTGTTTAAGAGGGAGGGGTATCGTACCTGCAGATTTGTAATCTGTAGCGTTCCATTGTCCAACAGGCTCATTCTTGGATCACTGCCCACAATCCGCTGTCCATCTTTCAGCCACTGGATGCTGGGGAGGGGGTTCCCAGTTACGTGACACTGGAGCAGTGCTGTAGAGTCTATGGCAAGGGTTTGATTCACGGGACCCCGGCGAATAATTGGTGGAATGCGATCAGTTGTTACTTCATGCAAGACAAAACCAAGACAGTGCATCATTACACACAGAGACTCTTACAAATACACTTGTTTCTGGGTTGTTATTCATTTCTTTTTTTTTCTTTTTTTTTTTATTTATTGCAAAAGTTTTACAATTACATTTTCACCCCTTTTTTTCCCCCCCCCACCTCCCTCCCCAAACTTCCCGTCCTCCCTAGCCCTCCCTAACCCTCCCCCCCAGACTTCCCTATTATATACTCATAACTAATAATACTGATATATATACCTGAACCCATCCCTCCCCCTATATAATTTTCCCTCTTTATCTCTTTACATTAAAATATTTCTAATACATTGTTTTCAAATAAAAGCTATTTGGTACTTTCTAGTTTGGTATTTGTTCTGAACATATTCTATCCACCTTTTCCATTCCCATTCATAAGTCTCTTGTGAACAATCTTTTAAATATGCTGAAATCTTCGCCATCTCTGCAAAACTGGCCATCTTCAAAGTCCATTCCTCGATAGTAGGCAAAGCTTCATTCTTCCAATATTTACCTATCAACAGTCTTGCTGCTGTTATCATATACAATATTAATTTTATTTCACCCCGTGTAAAACCCTTAACTATACCCAATAAAAACAATTGTGGAGAAAATTGAATTTTTTTCTTCAAAACATTCTGCATGACCCACCATATTTTTATCCAAAAAGCCTTAACTTTCCTACAGGTCCACCAAACATGATAATACGTAGCATCCAAACATTCACATCTCCAACATTTTGGCTGAACATTAGGGTACATACATGACAACTTTTTAGGATCTAGATGCCATCTATAAAACATTTTATAAAAATTTTCCCTCAAATTCTGCGACTGTGTAAATTTAACATTCTGAACCCAAATTTTTTCCCATGTTTCCAACATCACTGGTTCTTCAAAATTTTGTGCCCACTTAATCATACAATCTTTAACTAATTCCGTTTCTGAATCCCTTTCTAGCAAAACATTGTAAAGCCTTTTAATATGCATTGGACCTTTCTCTCTTATATGTCTAACCAATTCTTCCTCATGCAACATAATACCAGTTTTTTGGTCCTCTTTCCATCTCAATTGTAATTGATTATATTGTAACCAGGTTAAATTAATCCCTTCGTCCAACAGTGTCTGCAATGTCTTCAACTGCCATCTGCCCGCATCTGTAAAAAGAACCTCTTTGTATAAAAACCCCCCGAGTGACATTATATTTGTATTCCACAAGGTATGACCAAGATCCAGCCATAGCGGTATTTTATAATCCCATTTGAGTCGGTGCTTCTTCCAAACTCTCATCAAAGAGTCTCTAAGTATATGACTTTTAAATACTTTATCAACTTTGTCATCATAAAATAGGTAAGCATGCCATCCAAATTCAAGATCAAAACTTTCTGCATTCAATATTCCAGCCTTTTTACTTCCAAACCAATCACTTGTTAAAGTTAAAGCTGCTGCATCATAATATAACTGTAGGTTTGGAAGTTTAAGGCCTCCTCTTTCTGGAACATCTTGCATAATTTTCAATTTCACTCTCGGCTTTTTCTCGTTCCAGACAAACTTATTAAGTCCAGTTTGCCAAACTTTCAGTTGTTTATCACTTTTAAGCACCGGAATCATTTGAAACAAAAACAGAAATCTTGGCAAAATGTTCATCTTAACTGCTGCTATTCTTCCAAGTAAAGACAGTTGCAGCTTTTTCCAAGTCTCCATGTCTTTCTGAACCTCTCGCCACAACACCTCATAGTTATTTTGAAACAATTTCATGTTTGATTCTGCAACCTGAACTCCAAGATATTTTACCTTAGGTACAATTTCAAAACCTGCCCTCCTTTCAAACTCATGTTTACGATCTTGTGTCATATTTTTGACTATCATTTTAGTCTTTTTTGAGTTCACTCTAAAACCTGAAACTCTACCATAGTCTTGTATAATGTCGTTCATCAAGATTATTGATTCCATTGGTTGTGATAGGGTAACCACCAGATCATCTGCAAATGCCTTTATTCTATAATCCTCTTGCCTTATCATTATGCCTTTCAAAATTTTTGAGTCCCGTATTATATTTAGCAAGACTTCCAATGTTAAAATAAATAAAAGTGGGGACAACGGACATCCCTGTCTTGTTCCTTTTTCAATTTTAAACTCTGTCGTCAAACTTCCATTAATAATAATCTGTGCTTTTTGCTCTTGATAAATTGCTGAGATCGCCTGTATAAATTGGTCCCCAAAGCCCATCTTTTTTAAAGTCTTTAGTAGAAAATTCCAATCCACTCTATCAAAGGCCTTCTCCGCATCCAAAAAAAACCAGCACTGCAGAAATCTGTTTATTCTTATCAAGATATTCCAATAAGTCTATTACTTGCCTTACATTGTCCTTCATATATCTGCCCTCAATAAATCCCGCTTGGTCCGCATGAATCACCTTTTGGATTACTGGCATCAACCTGTTGGCTAATACCTTCGCATAAATTTTATAGTCTGTGTTCAAAAGAGATATTGGTCTGTAGTTCTCTGGTTTTTTAGGACCAACTTGTTCTTTTGGTATCAAAGATATATAAGCAGTTGTCCAGGATGGGGGTATTTTACCCCCTTGTTGAATATTGCAAAATAAATCTCTAAGTTGTCCCACCATTTTAGCTTGTAAAGTTTTGTAATACACTGCAGTCAAACCATCCGTGCCAGGAGCTTTGGCTGTTTTTAGCTGTTTAATTGCTGCTGTTATCTCCTCCTCTGTTATAGGATAATTCATTCTTTCCTTTTGTTGATCAGTAATTTTTGTAACTCTCTTATCCTTTAAATATTTTTCTATAAGTCCATTCTGCACCTCTTCTTTGGCATATAGTTTAGTATAATAATCCACAAAAGCTTCTTTAATTAGTTTTTGTTGAAAGATTTCTTTCCCTCCAATATCAATACTATCAATAGTCCGTATACTTTGTTTTTTCCTCAATGTGTAAGCCAACCATCTGCCCGGTTTGTTAGCGTTGCAAAATGTATTATGCTTCGCATATTGTAAACTTGTTGCAACTTGTTCCGCCATAAGCATTTGAAATTGGTCTTTCAAAAGTTTTATAGCACTTCGTATTCTTTCATCTGTTGGGTTTTTAATAAGTAACTGTTCTTTATTCTTTATTTCCATTTCCAACTCAGATCTTTTCTTTTGTCGGAGCAGTCTATGTTTAGAATTCATGTAGATGAGTACCCCTCTCATATAAGCTTTACTTGCATCCCAAACAATTTCAATTGGGGTACCTTTATTCAAATTTATTTCAAAAAATTCTTTCAAGTGCTTTTTAAGTTCTATTGTATTTTTTTCATATCTAAACAAGTTCTCATTTAATCTCCAAGAACGTCTCTCAACCTTATCCATCTCAATTTCTATCCATACAGGGCTATGGTCAGTCAGAGTTCTTGGAAAAATCTTTGTTCTTTTTGTCTTAACAAGTAGATCATTTGACAACAGGATAAAATCAATCCTAGAAAAAGATCTATGTCTATCCGAAAAAAAAGTGTAGTCCAATTCATTTGGATTATGTATTCTCCAAACATCTTTTAATTCCATATCTTCTTTCATATCAAAAAAAGTCTGTGGTAATCTAATTCTAGACTTTGCCAAGCTCTTTTTATCTAGTTTAGAATCAATTACTCCATTCCAGTCTCCCATAATTAAAATAGATCTATAGTCCCATTGCAATATTTTAGTATGTAACATCTTGTAAAAATAATCCTGTTGTTGGTTGGGAGCATAAATTCCAATCAAAAGAATTTGACCATTTGCTGTGAGCAATTCAATTGCTACAAACCTACCATCTTGATCTGCTTCTATAACTTTCGCTGTTAATTTTTTATTTACATAAATAACCACACCATTCTTTTTCTGCGAAGTTGAAGATATATAATGTGCTCCTAGTTTTGAATTTATCAAATATTTTTGCTCTTGAGTTGTGATATGCGTTTCTTGTAAACATATTATATCATTATTAAATTGTTTCAAATATGTAAATAATTTCTTCCTTTTCTGTGCTGAATTCAACCCATTGACATTCCAAGATAGACACTTAAAGGTCATCAGCCTCTTTCTGGAGCACAGAGCAAAATATTTGAAGTTCATCCGAGAGCTTCGATCTCGCTCCTCCCATAGCTCCACTCTCTTGTACGGTACTCTTAACTGCCTTCTTATCTTGTCTTTCCTGTTGTTGTTGTTGCTTTTGTTTAAGTAGCTTGGATTGGGCTCTAGTTATACGTTGATCTTTAACTTCTGTCAACTGAATCAAATCCAAAATTGGAGAAGAATCCAACAAGGGCTCACTCAGAAAACCTCCTTCTGCACCTTGCACTACTTCTAATTCCTGCTTGGACTGTTCTTGCAATTGCCTCTCTTCACTCTCTTTAATCTCCAAAACTGTGGATGTACGTGGAGATGGTGTTCTTTCCTTAAGAATAGTAGTGTAAAAGTGTTGTGCCTTCTCCACGGTATTCAACCGATACCCTTCTCCCTTGTATCTAAAAATTAACCCAGCTGGTGCGTCCCACCGGAAGGGTATCTGTAAATTTCTTAGTTCCTTAACAAGAAAACCAAATTCTTTTCTGGCTTTCAGCATTTTAGGAGGTAATTCTTTAAAGATTTGAAGTCGTGAACCCCCCACTTGTACAGAAGTATAAAAAGATTTTTGCAGGATATCATTTCTAATTCCTCTTTCTGTAAAGTATATGACCACATCTCTAGGCAGTTGTCTTTGTCTGGCCACCCAAGAGTTCACTCTATAGATTTTATCTATTTTGTGAAATACCACATCAGGATTAACTTGTAGAATCTTGGCCAAGGCTTCAGAACAAACTTGTCTCAAATCCTGTCTCTCCTCCTCTCGAATTCCCCGAAGCCGTATGGCGAATTCCATCGCCCGGAATTATATCATAACAATCTCATCATCAATTCTCTGCATTTTATTATCAACTTCATCAATTTTATAATCATTGTCTTTCATCTTGA